CATACTTTTGTAGTTCTCTGGGGCTTCCCCACAGCATGCATTAACCCCACCACCACCTTAGAGGACTGATATAATACAGTACAACAGAAAGGACTTCATCTGTCCAACTTGCAAACTAGGTGCTGGGAAGTCATCTACTCCCTGTAGGATTTGGGCCACCCTTTTCCCCATTCCACAACAGCTAGTCCTGCAGGGATTTGCACCCACTGGGAGCATCTGTGTTTTGCCTGACATTCCCTGGGTCTGTCCATTAGCCCTGTGGGTTTGGCAGCTTCAGAAGTTGCTGTGAAGCTCCCCTGACCCCAGGATTAGGTGGGCAAGCGGGTGCTGGAACCTGAAACCCCTGATACCTATCAGTGAAGAGCAACTGTTTAAAAATCTCCTGCCTTTGGTTTTGGTGGCATTTCTTCCTGTTTGCACAGATCTGCACAATGGCATGCAGTACCCAGAGCCATCTACACAAGCGAGCCTTTGAAATGTAGCCTAGCTGGCAGATCTGGTCAGGCTGGGAAACCTAGCTTTATAAGGTTTTTTGTCTGTTTACAAGTGATCTTGGCCACAGACAGGGACACACAGCTGTGGTCTGTGCATGGCTCCATGATCAGATTGAGGCAGGGCTCTGATCCTGCAAAGGCTGGAGTGGGGCTGAGCTCTTCCAGCTTTCTCCTGGTTTAATTTGGAGCTGGAGTTGGAGAGGCTGCCTTCTCCTGCAGGCTGGTGCCTCGAGGCCTGGGTTGGCTTTGCCTGAGCAGGCAGCAGCATCCATTGCCTGTCTGCGGCCTTGGCTCAGAGCCTGCACATGATGGACACCTCTGCTCGCTCCAGACATGCTCCTCCTGCAGACCAGAGAACACCTCTCACTGTTAGCAGTTACTGCTTTAATACAAATATCACACAAATACATTGCTTTTCCTCCAATAATTATAATAGAATCAGACAAGGTGCATGTCTGAAGGCCTAGCATTTCAGAGAGGGCTTTGCAGGTGGCTTTTGTGAGATGTCCGTGTGCCAGTTCATGCTGGCTGTAGGGACCCATGTGAGCAGCTATTGGGATAGCTCAAGCAGAAATGAGACAGTGGAGATTTCTGATGATGCTGATGTGCTATGAGGCAGCCTTGAACTTGAGAAGACCCATGCTGGGGACTGGGTAGAAGGAGGAGCCCCAACCCAACAGTACTGTGAACCCAGTATTATGGCAGTGCTTTCCTGCAGCAATGTCATGATAAAGGATGGTGAGGGGGGGAGGCTGCCAAAAGCCATGACCTTCCAGGCAGGCTGTTTCCCAAATGTGTGTTAAACAGTGGCAGACTCCGGCAGGTGTGGGCATGGGGGAATCTGTTAAATTAAAACCAAAGCATAAGAAGAGAGATGTTTGCTGTGGAAGATAACGTGTACTTGTTCTGCACACTGAGGGTGAGGAAACTCTTGGACGCATTTTGCATTGTGACCACAGTACACCTTTTGCACCGTGGGGCCATGTAGTTCCCCCTTCTCTCCCTCACCCCTTTTCTTTTAAGACCAGGTATCCCCCTGAGCTTTTCCCAGTGCCTTCAATCTGACAACTGAAAAGCACGATAAAGAAGCAGCAGCATGGTGGCAGTTGTTCCTTTTCCTCCCTCAGTACATCTCACTGTGGAGCTCCCTGACCACACTGACCAGTGGCTTGAGCTTGCTGCCCAGGTTATTAAGATGCCTGGGTCTCTGGTACCTGCAGCCTGGTAGACGTCTGGAGAGGAAGGAAAGGCATGCTCCCAGCAAGGTGCCCTTCGGTGGGGCTGCTCTAATGAGCCAGCTTTGTTATCTGCCTTGCTTCTGGTCCCAGAGATGCTTGCAGGGATATCTGCTGTTTTATTTTCTTAAAAGGCACCAAATGATGACAGTTAAGAGCCTACCAGGAGAAAATGAGCTCTTAGGGCAGTGTTTCATGTCTTGCTTGCAAGGCTTTATTGGATTAACTTTGTACTAGAACCACCATACACTCCCCTTGCTGGAGAGGCTGATACAGCTTAACTGTGGAATAAAAGCTTTACAGCCGTATTTTTGTCAAGCAGGTGACTTACATAAAAATATCTTTACATGCATTAATGTCATCTAAGTTTTGGCAAGGCCGCAAAGCAGGCTGTTTCTCAATGATCTTTGTCTTAATGCTCTGCTCACCCCAGTGTTAGGTATTGTAACTCTCTTGCTTTGCTTCTTATTTTCATATTATGGACAGTGTATTTCCTCTCCTGCACACCCCTTGCAAATACAGAGGTGCTGTGAGAGAAATCTCTGGTGCTACTGTCACCATTCAAGGAGTGCCTTTTTCATCTGTGGGTACCTGCTGCTTGGCAGCTCCAGCTGGGCAGCACTCCCAGCCTCTGTGAGAAAGGCTTGCATACTTTCAGCTACTTCCCCATTATTTACACATGAAGTTAATAACTGACTTGAGAGTTGATCTACAAATGTATTTTCAGGGCCATTCTTGGTAAATTTTTACCCTCTCAGCCACAAAGCTCTTGTTTTTTGTAATTTCCTTCCTGTATTTTCCCTTAACCCTAACACATTTTAACATTAGTGTGTTAGTTTTGGAACAGCCAGTGTATTCTCTCCCTCTTCTTCTCCCTTACCTGCTGATTATTTCTTTTTTTCACTGTCCTCTATCTCTGCTTCTGTTGCTTGCAGAAAACGGCTTTTCTCCTCCCTCTCCCTCTTCACAGCTCCCACCATCTGTCTCTCTACAAATACAAAGCTTTAGGGGAAATGATTCACTAGGCTGCTAGCTCATTACTCACACTCTGCCCATCATGGTTTCTGTCCTTGTAGGATGCTCTAACTAATGTAAAGATCAATGAATCCTGGGAATTGTTATTCAATTAAAACAAATAATACCCCAGCAGTTAGATTGGGCTTTTTGTACTTCTTAAACACCAGTGCTTAGTTTTAGTTCCTCACTCTGCTAGCATTGTTTTTCAGAAAAGGATCATTGAAACAGAAGAATACAAATGATCACTGGACCATTTAATGCAACCTTGTGTATCACATGATGCAGGAGTTACTTAATGAAATTCCCTGGCCCAAACCAAGCAAATCTGTGATAAATCTAGAGCACATATTTTAGGATGACAGCCAAAATGATGAAAGGAATTTACTACCCAGCCTGGCTAATCATTTTGAATGCTTAACTGCACTCCTAAATATGCTGCTTTGCAAGGAGGAAAACTGACACAGCTGCATTCCCTATAGATATTCCTCCTCCAGCCTCTCCCAGGCTGTGCACTCCAAAAGCCCCCTGACCCCCTGCCAGCCCTGTCCAGGGGCAGAGTGGCCAGCTGTGACTCTGTGAGCTCTAGCTGGCCAGCTGCCCACCTCTGGGAAGAGACCTCCACAGACCTCAACCACCACTGCCTCTTCCCCAGCATGAGGAAGGTTGAGGCTAGGTCTTTGCTCAGGTAATTATTTCCATGAAGATCATTCATAGGCATTTAATGTCTTTGAGATTCTCCCTATTAAATGTGGTAGAGATTGGCTGAGGGGCTCAGAAGCCATTTGAGGCAGACTAGTTCACAGTCTTAAAACACTTCAACCACCACAGAAAGCCGTACTGAGTTGGCAGGTATGACATAGCATCTCAGGAGTCTTGCTTAACCTGGAGGCTGAGCTCAATACTGTAAGGCACTTCAAGTGACCCTAAATGTTGATGTTTAGGTACCCACATCCCATTCCTTTTGTCTTCACTTTGTTGAGCTTTTAAGAAGGATTTCTGTCACAATTTCATGCTTGTCACCATAGACTAGAAAGTTATTTTCTTAATTGGAAGTTTAAGTTTTCATTTACCTCATAGAAAATGGACCTACTCAGCCCACATGCAAGTGGATAACAAGAAGTATCACTACCCAACCCAATTTTACTGTGCCTTGTCAGGAAGCTGCTGGCAATGTCAGGTACGAACCTGTTTCAGTTGTTGAGCTTCCCTTTAGAAACTGGAGTTATAAGAAATACCTGCAAATACCGCAATCAAAATTGTGACAATTGACAACACTGGACACACCCTGTCCCAGTTCCCTTTAAATGGCTGCAACTCCTTATGCACAAGCCTGCTAAAGGAAAATGTGACTATATCTGCAATGTGGTTCTTCAGGTTTTTTTTCATGTGCACCACAAAGCACGCCCTGTATCAACACACCACACTGGCATCACCTGCGTGGAAAGCTAAGTAAATGTTTTGGGTAATGTAGCAGGAGTATTAATTTCTTGGCTGATTTACTTTTTGGACTCCCAAGCACATGTACTGTTTTATAAAGCTGTGTTTGGGTAATTCTATTAACAAAAATAAAGCTGAGGAGGATCTTTGGAAAGAGCCTGCATTGAGCGGGCACGAAGTGCTTTGTGTCAGAGCAGGACAACTACTCTAAAGAATAAGGGCTGCAGAATTTTAAGCCAACAGGGCCCACTGTTATCTCAGTGTGGTTAAGGCAGCTTTTCAAAAAAGGGCCCTCACCAAAGTCATATTTATGTGCTCTGTAAAATAAAAAGTTCAAGTTTTAGCAGATGTGGTGTTGTTGAGCCTTCCATGGTTGCCAATACCCTGTGGCCCTCCAACATCTTTGAGTATTTTATTGTTCCACACTTCATACAAGTTGCAAGAGTCAATGTTACTTCTCCTAACAATTGCTGGCTTTCCAAATGCCAGTTGTCCTTTGACATGCTCTGTTTTAAATAAGGGCTGAAGAGCAGTAATGAAACTAGAGGCCTGCTGTAAAAAATACTGCAGCGTTCCATGGTACTGACAGCACACATGTAGTCATGCATTTTGCTCTCCATTTGTGGACTATTGCTGCAACACACTGAAGGTGTTCAGGGCCAAGCTGTGAGGAAATGGAACTCCAGAGATTTCAGATCTGAGAGTCCTCTAATTGAAGACAGTATCTTTATGCAAGACAGGCTAAGGCAAACTTGTGTTACCCAACAGTTACCATTCCTCTGTTGTTCCCAGCAATAATAAAAGCTGACGCAATATATAAGGTTGCCTTGCAAAAGGCAAATATATTTAATAGTGTATGTACAAATTAACTGTTCAATAATGCTATACAAGACAGGAATATCTTTAAAGAAACCCTGAGCAAAGAGAAGGATGTAATTTTTATTTTACACTTATTGCAACATTATTTCTGGTATTTGTTTGCTATATCGACTAATAAAGGAAAATGTTAAAAACAGATGTTAAAATAAAACTGGGCATTCTTTCCATGTTCAGCTCTTAAAACTCTAGAGAAGAGAGTTCTGCCCCATCAGCTTCAGAAATAGATGTTGATCATGGTAGAGAACAAGCCGAGCCTGAGTTACCCAAAACAACCAATCCCTTTAGCAGAAAGAGTGTCTTCTGTCATCAGAAAGAGCCATCTGGAAGAGCACTGGCTCCCTGCCAAGAACAACCCTTTAACAACTGCTTGTCGTGCACTTTAAGCAATAGTGTTCATAACGGTACAACCTGGAGTGTTGGTAAAGGTCCTATCGGAGGAGCAATGTATTCCTCCTCCCTCAGTAACCGCAAAAGGATGTTCTTCTTATTCTTCGGCCAGTTATAAATGTGAGTGTTCTGCAGCCAGGTAGGCACGTGTTCCTGAAAAACAAGTGAAAAAAAAAAAGGCATGAAATCCCATAAATCCTCCTGAATCTGTACCAGAACCTTGCAGATTCCATCAGACCCTGCCAAGCAAGATTTCATTTTGTCTGTTCCAGGCACTTCCCGTAACAACAAGAAATTCTAATTTGGCTTCAGAGTTGTATTTAGGTTCCTAGATGAATGAACCTTGTGTGATCTCACAGCTTGCTTGTCTCTCTTTCTTTTCTGCCATCACATTGGCTAATTTCACTACATTTCAAAGGGAGTCTGATCTCAATGACAAGCATCTAAAGGCTTGTGAAAATAAACATTGAGAAAAGAAGGCAGACATCTCAGTGCCCCTACCAAGGAAAGGCTGCCACCTTAGTAGCTGCTGAAAGATCCACACAACATGTTCAACCTTGAGCAGGACCCCAGGAGCATTTGCCATCCTGGCAGTCTTCACCCCCTCTCCTTGCACTTTGCTTCACCAAGTGTGGTGTCCTCTGGCCATCTCCTGAGCAGGAGGTTGAGGCCGATGCTGAGCTTGAGGAGAGTCTAATGCATCTCCAGCTGAGCAGAATCAAACCCTCCCCACTCTGCATCCTGGGGAAGATGCCCCCTTTCAGGGGCTGGCTAATGCTCATTAACGTAATGAAGCTGGGACCACCATGGCCCTGGACAGTGATAGTGGGCTGGTGGATAGGACCCTGCTCTGACCTCATGTTCTCATGTCTCCTCCACAGCCTTGGGTGATTTGCATACAGACAGTGTGAATGTGTGGGGTGAAAAGGCCATTATCATACCACTAATTAAAATAGGGTCAAAGACTGATCCTTGACCAAAACCAGCTCATGACCACTATGGAGATTTCTTTTTGGAGAGCTGTGTTGGAGACACCAGAACAGAAGCCAAAGGGAGACAGGATATAAGCAACATGAGCAGCCAAGACATCCAGCACTTGCTCCCTGGTCCTCTTTACTCAGCAGGACAGTATTTTCCCAAGGTAGCCCCTGTTAGGAGCAGCACAGTCCCTGTCAAGCCAGTAGAGCTAGCTTCAAGAGGACCAAGCAAAAAGCTGCTGGCATGCACTGTGTCTGTGGCACCTTGCCAGGCGATGCCCTGGCATGGGCAGCACACGTCCAGCCTGCCAGCAAACAACCTAACTGCAGACCAAATACTTCATTACCAAGCTTCATGCTTCTCAAATTGGCTGTCTCTTCCTTGGCCTGTATAGCTGTAGGAACGAGACTGCGTCGTTTCCACTGCCCAGGGAGTGGTTACTGTTCATTGATGCAACTACTTTGTTAGATCGATAGGATTTATATAAAGAAGAAGGAGGTAGGACACCCAGGCACCTACACAGCCATTACTCTGACCCCACCTAGGCCTCTGAACCAGCAGCTTGGTGAGAGGCAGAAGTATCTATCAAGCCTGGCCCTCCTCTCTTTCTCCAGTGGCTGAGAAAGTATAAGCTTTGGTCAAGGGTCTCCCCAAAGTGGAGGTTTTAAAATGTCGCTCCTTCAGGTGGACACCTCACTGCCCAACAAGGGTAAGATCCTGCGGCGCTCCCTTTGGTAGCAGCACAAGTAAGGTCTCTTGCCTCCACCTGCAAGTCTGGTTTTGCATAGGAATGGATTTTAATCTTTGCGATCTTTACTCCTTTCACAAAACTGTTTGAAGTTGGCCAAGAGATTCAAATGTTTCTGTGAGAAAGAAAGATAACCGCATTTGCATGCATGTGCACACTCTTACTATGTAAAATTTGTTTCTTTACTAAATCTTGTTAAAAGCTACATAAGGAAATGCAATTAAATACAGCAAATGAGCCTTCTCTCTGTCTTTGATAAGAAACTACATTTTTTGTGAGGAAGGAAATGCAGTAGACATAGTCGGTCTGGACTTCAGTAAAGCATTTGATACAGATCCACATGGGAAATCATTAGTTCAGCTTGAAAAAATGGAAATTAGTGTGAGAAATGTGTAGCAGGTAAGAAACCAGCAAGTGAGGATATAATGAGAGAGGCACTATACATCCAGAGAAGGCTCTATGTCTTTCTTCCAGAACACCTCCTGCGGCCAATTGCATTTAATATCTTCCATAATGAACTCAGTGCAAAAAGCACCTGCACGTTAATCATCTCTGGCAATAATTTTAACTTGAGGGAGGTGTGTAGGGGTAAAGGGGTAACTATAGCTGCTATTTTGATCCACAAGGAGAGCAAAGTGTCCTTGCCAAGTGACACTGGCTGTCATTGCAGGTGGGAGCAAGGGGAAAATGCTTACCACCCTAATATTACTTCTATTTGGCTGTGTATCTGTAAGCCATAAGGAAATTCCCTCTATGCCACAGAGAGAGTATTTGATGACTCTGAGGATCAAACTGGTAGGAAGAAGGCAGAGCGTTTTAGTGCAGAGGGCAGGGCTGTGCATGCAGGGACATGTTGGCGCAGCATGTTTTGAGCTCCCCTGGCTTCCCTGGGACTAACCCTGCTCACCTCATCTGTCCAGCTGCCTCACTTCTGACAAAGGGAGCCTCCATGTTAAGGAAGTCACAACTTAATGCTTTGGTCACTGGGTGACCAGATCAGGAGGACACATTTCTGAGGACTGGTTCGATGCAAGCCTTGAACCAGCAAGACCCACGTTTCCTTTAGTAGTGTATGATGGGAAGCTGGAAATGCCAATTCCACCTTAACTGTGTGTTGTGCTTTTCCCCCTCATTATTCAGTTTCCTAATGAACACTCTTTGGATCACACAGTTCCCTTCTTGTTGAAGGCTGACTAATTTTCACATACCAGCAGTGCTTTATGATGTGCTTCATATGAGATTGTCATCTAATAGCCATATCCCAAGATGTAACCTTCCCGACCTTGCTTTCCTGCTCTTTTCCACTACTAGCTACAGCAGTACTTGAATATGTAACGAACAATGTAAAAAAAGACAAAATGAAAGTAGTTTGTCTGCCAACATCATCTAATTGTATCTATATGTGGCATTTTTCAGGTGCCTCACTTTCCTCTGACTGCCTACAGGCTTCACTACTGCAACTTGCTCATAGTCTGGTGCTCTCCTTCTACCCACCATGTCCTCAGTTATATTCATCATTACCTAGTTAGATGAAGTTAGATGATGTACCAAAGAAATGTGTGAGGAAAGAGAGCAAAGCTCAACGGCAATAGAAAATGACAACCTGCATAATTTAGATAAGAAAGTCACGTCCTGAAAAACTGAAGGGTGATGTGGACTTACAAAGGATGGGCAAGAAGGCTGCGTGGAGACTGATGTTTTGATAGGAGCAACTGAATAAACCAACCCTGGAAATCCCTTATAGCTCATTGTCTGAGAGAACCGCCCCTATATGCTAAATAGTCTTGTGATATATGAAGTTCAGCCAAAATTAATGCAGGTTTGTTGTTCAAACCCCAGGGGCAGCTACAGACCCTCCTGGGCCACCTCTCTCTGCAACCCTATGGTGCCAAATGGCTACAAGTTACATGGGCTGATTGTGTGGCAGGTGCTTGGGGGGCCCCAAGGTTAGCAGCAGTCCTGTCTTTCTCCCCCTGGATCAAGCTGCAAAGCATAACTGAAAATGCTGCCTGATTCCCTGCCTTTGGTCTGCCCAGCTCCCACCAGGGCAGCCTCTCAGCTTTTCACACTTAAGGCAAGTATCGGATTGAGATCATTCAGGCAGGGAGCTGAATGACATGAAATAGCAGAGGTACCATTCATTCCAAGGGACCTCACTTTTTTTACAGACGCAGGGACATGTTTTGAAATTTCTGAGCATGTATCAAGTTGTGCCTAAATAAAGAACTTTGTTCCACTAAAATCCACAAGTGCAGTGGGATGGCACAGCTCTACAATCACTAATAACAGTTTCTAAATTTTGGCTCACATTCCAAAGTTTGGGCACCCAAAGAAATGTAAGGAACTTTCCATACTTTTTCAAAATGCACCTGTACCTGGGGGTAACATGACAGCTACCAACAGTGCACACAGCATTTAGCAGTGAAAAGTGAACATGAGTACAATATAGCCATTCTGTGTCTGGGGAAGAATGCAATCTCTCAACTATAACTGAAGCTGTTTAACTTGAAAACAATCCAAGAGATTCTCTCAGAGTGAGGCAGAAGAGACAGGAATCTGTTGCATTACTTATTCTCAAATGAATCTTCAAAACCAGTAAGGAGGGCAGATGAAATTGCAAGTCCTAAAAAACCTTACAGTTTGCCTTCGAAGGGCCCATCAAAGTTCAAGCAACAGACTAGTACTTTAGTATTTATTATCCTCTTTATTTTTATATTCTCAACCCAGCCTCTCCCAGATCCTCACTTCACATCAGTCATAAATCTCTCCCACCTCACTCATCGGCATTACATCTGGACAGAATTATAAAAGGGTTAATATAAAAAGCATGTTTGCTGGGTAGACTGTCTCCCTGCATGTACATTCTTTCAATGCTAAAGACAATTTCAGTTTTAGTTGTACACTTATCATCAGAAATACATTTATGCACTGATTTATATTGCGGATGAAATGTTTTTTATTTGTATGTGCATAAAACTTTAAACTTTTAATGTAAAGTGTAGCTTTGGAATATTACTAGTGGGATATTAAGAACCAAGAAATTGAGGGTTTGGGTTTTAAGATTTCATCTGGTGCACTGTGATCAAAATAATATGTGCTTAATTATGTGACAAGTATATATGCACGTATAAGTGTTACCTTTCTGGCATGTGGAAAAAGCACAGGGATGAATCTGAAGTTCATGCTTCCTTGTTGTATAAACTCGATCTGCATCTAGAATAGAACAAATTGCCAGATTTATTGTAATGACACATTAATTTTTCTTTGCATGCATCTGAATCCTATGCATAAAAACATTTGTTGCTTACTTAAACTGCTCTTCTGTTAAGTGATTTGATCTATTGCTGGTGGATTCGGTATCGTTTTGTTTGGCCACTTAATCTGATTCTTCATTACTACAGAAAAGATACAGGAAAGATCTGTCAACATTACTTGAGCATTTAGTTCTGCAGTGTGAAATAATTGTGGATATAGCTGCAGTTGCAATCCCATGAAATCCATCCAGAACCAGTGACGCCTGACTTGACTAAGGCCCTTGTTCAGTCTCCAGCAAGGTGGAAGATTTCCGCTGAACACTGGCTGTGTCCAAACTGGGACCTAGTCTGTCCCCCATGTCCTAGCTCCATGTCTGAGCTGGGATAGCCTGTTCCCCATGTTCCCATACACAGGCATCCCAGTTGTAAGGACAGCAAAAGTACTGCTGCAGGCTCATCTGCTGGTGACAGCTTCTGAGAAATTTGACTGCAGAATCAAACTGGGGAATCTGAGTAACATATAAACTGGGTAACAGGGTAAGAAGGACAGGAAACTGCAAACTGAGGGAGGAAACGTGAGTTTCATGGCTCTGTGGGCACTTCTGGGCTAAGTGTCCATCCTGTGACAGACTGCAGAGATGAGCCTCTTTGACCCCCTGTCAATCTGCACCACCCAGGAGCTTTCCTTTGCAGCTCTGGCCTTTGCTTTTCAATTCCACCTTTCAGTCAGCTTTACTGCTGCCAGAAAACAGACCTCAGTTACAGGATGACCAAAGCAACAGGGCCTGGTTTATAGGAGGGGAGGTCAGGTACTGTTAGATAAGATTGTGTTCAGAGCTATATAGGACAGGGCAACAAGGGTTCAAGAAGGTAAAGGAGGGAAAAAAATCATTGAACAATAAAGAATATTGAGAAATAAGATGAGCATGTTTAATAGGATTTTTCTTCCTTGAACCTCTTAGCAGATGTTAATGAGCATACGGAGCTGATGAGAGGGAGGATTAATGAATTCCAAAGGGGGCGTTTAACTATGGGGATTAGGGAAAACAAAGCAAAGAACCTGCCATTTGGAGACAGATTTGTCTTTTGAGAAGAAGAGACAGTCTTTGTAAAACAGCAAATGCATGTCCTCGCTTACCATCCTGTGGATGTACTTAGTATGTAAGCCGTGTTCATCCTTGTCCAGCTGGGATTCAGCCCCTTCCACATCCTGTTTGTATTTTGGACTGATTGCTATGATTATCATCACCGTCTTCTGTTAGGGAAAAAAGCACTTTTATGAAATTGGGAAATGCAGTGTGTTTGGTAGAGGCAGATCGGAAATCTGCCAGTTTGTGTTTTAAGTGATCTTTATGTTCTTGGCAAACATAAGAGGATCTCATTCATTCTGGCAGGAAATAGAGGAGAACTTGTGCACTCATTCTCCTCATTATTTCTCAAGATCTCATAATATAGAAAATCTAAATGTCAAGAGATATATTAGCAGCTACCAGTTTACAGTTGGAATCCCTGTCATAAAAAGCTACTTTTTATCAGTGTAGAGCGTCTATGTGCATACACAGAAAAGTTTTATCTTCATATTCAGCCCTAAATGTTTTCCAACAGCTTATGTTGTAAAAGTGCATCTTTTCAGCTATGTAAAAGTGCATCTATTTAACCATCTACAGCTTTTTATGTATAAAGACACTAAAGGCAGTTGCTTATGGAAGATACCTCTAGGGCTCTCAGCAACAGAAATGGCAACTGTTCTTGCTGATATTCGTGGTGGACACTGCAGTGGCAGATGTGGGCACGTTTAGGGGTACCTAGCAGCTTTGTCCCACCTTGCTGCAGTGGGCTGAAGGCAATGCTCCTTGCCGTGCTGGGACAGCCCAGATCCTGTTTCATCCCAGGCCCCCACTGAGCTCAGGTTTCCTCAGAGGATTCATCCTTCATCTCTGGGAAATGCCTCTCCTCCTTAATGGTGAGCCAGTGAAGAGGCTCAGCAGATGAAAGCCTCCTGCTTGTGTTTACCTAGGGCCTGTCTTTCATCCCTGCCACATCAGGCTGTGTAAGGCTTCCAAGTCTGTGGCTCATAGTCAGCTCGGCACCTAATTAACTCTTTCCTTCTGTGCAGTATCAAGGGAATTTGCCTCACCACAGGGTCAAATACACTAAGGAGCCATTATCCCTTACACCAACTTAACATACTCCAGAATTACTTTTGCTTGCGCCTGACATGCATGTAAGCGCTTACAGATGTTGAGGGTTTGCAGAGACATGCCCAGCTGCACACATCCCCCCGCTTGTGTCCAAGCAGTCCCTCCTTCCTCACGCATTTAAGGGTTTTAAAGTTAGAAACTGCCTCCACAGTCAACGGAGCAAAACAAACATTTCTGGGGTGGGCAGCCAGAGAAGTATTCTCATGTGGAGGAAGGGAATCACTCTCTGCACACACTGGGCCCTCCTACTGACTGTGGAGGAGTCCCAAAGGAGATCTGCCAGTTTGTATTTTAAATGGTAATGATCTTGGCAAAAGCAAATTCACCCTGGCTTCTAGTTTCAGTGCCTCCATTACACATGGTAAACCCAAGCCTAATTTGTCCTGATGAAAGCCTCAAAAGGCCTGACTGCATTGCCACAGCAGAGGCCCCAAGCTGGTTCTGCACGGTAGAGCACCTGAGCTGAAGTGTCTTGCTGGACACCTTTTGGAAACCTGTGTAGTGCTGTCTCAGGTGGTGAGGCTTCCTTGCTCAGGTTGGGGAGAGCCCACCACTTTGTCATCCTGCTCCCAAACCATGGAAATAAGCCCAGAGTGAGTCAGAGTCCCAGTGGGTACCCAGCAAAGCACAAATGAACTGAAACCACTCCATGATGGCATGTGTCGAGGGACATAATTGACAGTTTGTGTCTAACTGTGCTGGAATAATGGGACCACTTGGCTTGCTCCTAAAGGAGATGTGCGCTCACTGCTTAGTTGAACTTCAAAGAAAGATGCGGCTGCAGGGGACTCCATTGGCAGCAACATAAATCTCTATTTTACTGCTTGGATAGATACAAAGTGATGAGAGGAAATTTATCATTTGACTAACAGAATACCAATTTCAGTTTGCATACAGCATGGCTTATCCAGAAGAACCCTTCAGTATTTTAGACAGCAACGTAAAAGCTACAGGTGAGAAGCAGGATGAACACTAGCCACTACTATGCAGCCCGGGATGAAATACAGATAATCATTTTAACCAAGCATAGATAAACCCCACTACTTAAAAATGAGATGGAGAAACAACTTTTCCACTGGCAACTTCAGGCTGAATGTAACAGCCAGCACTGGAATTTGGCAGGAATGCCAGAACTAGCACTTCATTTCTTAAAGAGCGAGTTTTGGGACCATAAGATACATAAGTGAAGGAGATTTGTCTGCGCTCTCTCTGCAAGGCCTCTGCCATTTCTATAGGGGCAGGGAAGATGATAGTAGGGTCTTGCATTTTGATTCTGCTCCTAGTGCTATTAGAATAATTCGACCATTTTCCTCAGGTCACCTCTGCCATGAACAAGGTTAAATTGCCTTTACATACATCACCTAGGTACCGCTCCATCCACTTAATGATGTCAATACCTCGTACTGTGTCCTCAAATATATCAATCTGCAAGAGAATGAAAGTCTGTGATGAGCATCCTTTCACCTTTCCTCCTCATTTGGTGGCACTGAAAAGGCACCTACTCTTTTCCCTAGCTTCTAACTGCATGCCCAATTCCCTAAGCAAAGAAACACGTACAAACATAACTACTCCCCTTTCCCAGAAGCCCAGAGTCGAACTGGATGGGCACTGTAGGCAGGTGGAGGGGAGATGCTGCAGGCACACCACTGGGCTCCTAGTGAGCCAGACATTTAACCAGGCACCTTGCCTTGCCGACTCCCAACTCCCAGGCATTTTTTGCTCAACAGAACAAGAAACAATCACTGCTGGTGAATGTCAGATATGTGATGCTTGCAAAATGGCTTTTTTACCTCTCTAAACACCTCACAAAGGTGGATAGTTGTCCACATTCTCTATCTGTACAGCTGCAAATGTCCACTGTTTTCTGGCTGCTATGGTATATATTGGGTGTCACGTCTTAGATTCATACTGAACTAAACTTTCAGGGTGTGTAGTGGGAACTCAGGCAGGTCACTGATACGGATAACCCAGATTTCATCAACAGCAGAGGCAGAGGACTTCATAGGATTGAATGCAACCAATGCCACTCACTTCCCAGGAACTGGGAATCAATGACTGTGACCAATGCAGTAAGTATTAACTTCTCCAACCTTTTGATAAAAAGTCATGTTATGCTCGCAAGTCTTTTCCCCCTTTTGTTTCCCTGCTTTGGGGCCATTTTGCTGTATTTATTACTCTGCAGCAGGCTCCAAGAATTGCCTGTCCAGCAAAGGTGCTATTAATGAGCCTTCTATTCCATACCTCTGTGGTGTCCAGAGCTTTCTTATGAATTGGTCATAGTACAGAACTGCCGGAGAGAAGTACAATTACAGTCTCTGGAAAAAAATCTTTGATTTATGAAAATAAATAAGCTTGTGTAAAGCCTCCCACCAAGTCTCATTCAGTTTAATGATAGACACTTGCTTAAATGCTTTCCTGAATTGAAGCCAGAGTGAAGGTTGAGAGGTCAGATAGCATATGCACTTGAAATAAGAAAATATGAATCAAGATTTTGATGAACGTCAAATCCTAGAGCCTCTGTGGATGGTTCCCTTAGAGAGGGCCATTATGATGAAGCAAGCTCATGAGAAATTAAATGAAAATCTGGATGGCTTATGGAATTAGAGTTGGACACAGACCTTTTCAGGCCAGTGAATTTAGAATCCCTTTTAAAAGTATAACAAAGCAAATGAAACCATGAGACAGGCTGTTTCATTAAGCTCTGTGAAATACATTGATTTTAGATCATTTTTAGCAGAAAGGTATTCACATCTGAAGAACCAGCGATGTAACAGCACCACAGAAAAAAAGCTGGGATTGGACGAACGTGAAAACTGACCTTTTTAATATTGATATTACAGATCAAATATGAGACAGTGTTAATGGAATAGCTCACAAAACTTCATACTATTGCCCATCTGGTATCTGGTGTCACTAAATAAAATTTTCTAGGGTCATTATTAAAGCACATTTAAAGGCATGAAAATTCAGTTAAAACATGAGAAAATGAAAAGGCAAATCATTTAAGTTTAAACGTTTAAAGTCTGGGCTAATTCATCTATTTGTACCTTGTTTAACCTACCAAATGATAAACAGAAACACGTTTAAGTGGACAGTGTATCACCTCTGCTTTTTACAAAATGTCCCTTTCCTCTCCTGGCTGAAAGTCATTTTCTCCAGAACGAATACTTACAGCAGTTTGAAATCCATTTACAAGCAGGAAGTTCACGAATTTCATAACCTCCACTGCTGCGTCCACTGAATAGGTTATAAAGACCTTGCCTAGGAGAAAGGATCCACAGGAATATGCAAGGCATTAAAATACAACATTTGAATGGTGACTTTCAGAGCCCTCCCCTTCCACTGCACTGCACGTTCTGCCCACCTATGTCTCTTCAGATTTACAAAATGGATGGGAACAGCGCAGTGGCTTGGTGTTGAACTCAACCCACTGTACAGAAACCTTGCTCTAGATTTAAGCTCCTACTGCCTTACTGCTGGCAAGCACCCTTGTGGAAGCTGCAGAGGGTACCATCACTCTGTTGCTCACCCTGCTCTCTACCAGAGCTGCTTCTTCCCCAGCCTGTTGGCATATGTGAGGTTGAGTCCTCATCTACAGCTCATGTCACCCACACCGTCTGCAACCAGCACAGCTTTCCCCCAGACCTCACAGATCTGACTGACAGCCGGAGAAGCCCTTATGCATGCTGTACCCCCTGTGCAGGCAGGATGGATGGCTGAAGATAGCAACGTCTTCAGCTGGCCTTACCATTGTGGAGGTTTTCTTACTAACTAAGGAATCATAGACCTGCAGTCAGGGTAAACCAGCTGGCTAATCTAATGCAGCTGTGTCTGTATCACAAATGACACAATTTTATCCAGTAATTCCTGCATCTAGGACACACTGATAAAGTAGGGTCTATCCAAGAGTGTTGTCTGGTGTCATAACTCACTCCTACAGGCCAGAGAGATGCAACTCTCTGGATTGGAGAGATGATGCAAAAAATGAAGGATAAAAAAAATCAAAACCTCAGGAGAGATGTAGAGGGCTCTTAGCAATGGCATCTGCTGGACAGCAGGGCATTAAGAACAACGGCAGTTTTCTGAAACCTGACTTTCCCATAGGAGTTGAAGGGTGAAAGCTCTTCAGGGGCTGATGCCAGGGGAAGAAAGCCAGTGCCTGTGCTGTCCTCAGCCCTCAGTGTTGGGCTCCTTGCCCAAAGCTCTCTCTAGTCACCAGGTCAGGGAGGAAATGAGGTCGAGACTCAACAACTTTGTCTGGTTTGGGACAGGCTGAAACACTTTATCCCTAAGGCTTTGTTTGTTATTAGTCCTTTACTGTAAACTTCAGTGCCTCCTGCCTCAAAGGGACATCCTGTTTAGCAAGAAGTCATGAAAGCAATCTAAATGGTATTTATTTTTTGTAAACAAAATAACAAGCAATTAATGAGAATTATGTTTTCAGGACTGAAGAAGATAATTCCATCCCTCCAAACCCAAACACTCACACCCTACAGATGCGATGACACTCAGTGTTTTCTTTTCTGTTGTCTTTGTGTCTTAATGTCATTCCCCCTCTCTTCCCCCCCGGAGCTTTCCCACCTAAAGCTTGCAGAGTGTGCTGTAAAATCTTGCACAGAACAAATTTGCTAACCACTTACGCAACTCCTCCGGCAAATTGCTGGTTCTCAGGGTTCCCTTGGCTGCAGGGTTACTGAGAGGTCTTGGGACGGCAGCTGGAGATGGCAAATTGTCACAAGGACAACAACATGCTTCATCTGAGCCACATGCCTTGGGGGGCAGCTGGCCATTAGGTAGCTGGTTGTATAGCTGGTTTCTAGAAAGAAAAGCAAGTGAGGACTTAAGAGTATTCCTTTTCAGGCAAAATGTTTTTTTTGTCTTTTAATAACACACTAAAAACTTTATATCTGCACATCAGCTAGGAAAAGTTCTTGCAGAAATGCTTTGCTTGGCATTTCTACTTAGTTATTACAGCATCTTCTGAACGGATACCTTGGTGACAGTCTACCACAAGAAGCAGTTTACTGCAGAAGCAACATTTGCCACAGGAAGTAAGTGCACCTCACAGCTGAAAGCTGTTCAGTTTGCAATTAGCAAAAGCAAAGGCTGTTTCTGAGTGAAAAATATATGCTGTATCATGGATATGGTTATGCATGCATGGGAGCAGAGAGGCACTTGTGTAACCTCTTCCCATATCTAAAGGGTTCTTCATGGCACCTCTGAGGCTCTCAGGATGCCCTGTGCAGCACAAGGAGGCACAGTGCAAGGTGGGAACTGGGAAAAAGAAGGTCCAAGGGCACTCCACCTTGAACACTGGCATAGGTTGGAGGGTCTCCAGTTTTAGACAAAATTCCAAGTTTACTAGAGGGAACAAAGTTAATTTCCTGAGCAGCAACAGCAGACACAAGGGTTTCTCATGGCAGGGATCTGCGCTCCAGACTTGCAATTATGTTGCCTAACATCTTCCCCATTGTAGCAAGAAGAGAAAAAGGGGACTTTAGGAACATTATCAGTTCTTGTTCTACTGCACTTTGGCTTCACAGTTTAAGTCAGGAAGGGGAATCTATTGAGATTTTTATGCGAGGTGTGCTTTGATTCTGCTGGGTTGAATCTGTTGGACAAGTGCTAGGTTTCTCTGACAGCTTTTCCCCACAGAGCAGTGATGTTTAGTCAATCAAGCCCACTCTCTTTTTTCTCTTTGCCTTCCTTAAATGAATGATGACAAGCTGGTCACAGCATGTTTTCTGTTGTCACATTAAGATTTGGTTTATTCATTTTGGTACAGATGTTTTCTGTTACAAAATACTCTATAGGCAAATACTATGAACATATAACTGCCATTCCTGGAATCAGAATGCAAACACCACGCAGGCAGCCGCAGGACAGACCCCGCACGTTCTGGATTTTTTTTAGCAGAAGAAAGTACCAAGAAAAGCAACACATACCCCATCGATGGCCACAAAAAACTATCATGTGCCTGATTTACAGATCTTCCCAAAAGTTCACCTTATCCAACAAATGTGCCAAAAATTAGGAGCCTGTTTTTAAGTTTTACTACTGCAAAGGGTACCCACTATTCCTTAATATTTTTACATTTCATACAAGCTCGATTGCCTGCAGGTACTGCACTATCTTGCTGTCACTATTCTGTCACAGCCGCTAACTTTTCACAGGCAGAACAGTGTGATATTTCAGTCACCAACCGTCCCACCAATTCTCCCAGTTTTCTGCCCGTGTTATGTTAAGTGCACATTTTCAAACACAGATGCCTGTAAGTTTAGCACCTGTAAAGGTAATGTGGCACTTAAATAAAACCAGTCTGATTCCAGATGTCCTCAATACCTGACGCTTCAATTTGTCTTTAGATAGCTGAGTCTGGAGTAAACTCTGCTTGGATAGTATGTTCCATTTGTTAATGACATACTTACAAGGAGGGAGATATAAGGCCTGGTAAATTAATATTTGAGAAGCAGTAAAAAGCCCTGGATACAAAGTGCTAGCCTTGTGATGGTTTACTACTACATGAAAAATCATGGAAAAAGCTGCAAACAGCAATGTAGAGATATATCAGCAACAGATGGGATTTTCTCCCTTTTTTCTCTGCACTGCAGAGGAGATAAGAACAAAATCACTGGATGCCAATAACTGAGGCGTCCCAGGCTGGTACAGCGTAAAGCTCGAGACTGCAGTGAGCCACTGAGTTGACCTTTGCTCTCAGGCAGGATAGCTCTAAGGTTTCAACTGAGATATTTTTCAACCCCTCATCCCTTTAACCTTTCAGCATTTATCTTCCTTAACGCATGCATTTCAGGGTGCGCTGTAATAACATATCAGGTATCTGGCTTTGAAGTTCTCTAGGGTAAGGTCAGGACCCTGTTGGGTGTAAAACAGCAAATAAAGAAAACTACCCAGCGTCTTGCATGTGCCCCTGCACACTAACATTACAAGGCTTCAGAATTATTGGTTGAAAACACACAGTCAGGTCAGAGGAGCTTCCACTGTGCACAACCCTCTCTCCCCAGCTCCCCCCCTACTGAGGGCATACTTACAGGAATCGAGGTGGACCAGGGGAGGAGCATGTCCTCTGGGGTGGTCGGCCTCTGGTGCCTTGGGCAGCATGAAGGTCTGAGTAATTTGGGATGACTTGCTGGGCTGGGCGGATAATTCTCACGCAAGGTCCAGGAACAGGAGGAAGGGGCTGCGGTGCATGTTCAAAATGTTGGTAAGGCGTTCTGCCATCTGGGAGAGTGAGAAAATAAAGGCAGCAAATATCATTTCAGCCAATGCAGTTTCCCTCAGTTTGTGTTTATTCCTCTCCAGGCACGTCCTCCTCCATGTCTTGGGAAACCAAGCAGTTTGGAGGCATTTGCAGGTATCTTGGCCTGAAAGAAGCCAGATTAAGGAACATTTTGCAGTCTGAAGTTTCCATTTCCCATTTGGCAAGGTTCAGATCCCCACCCTTAGCTGGGATAACTGACAGTTAAACACTCAGGGCTGCTTTGTTCCTGCATTTACCATGCCTCAGTGTTCTTTGGTTATTTTTATTTTTTTTTAATTTCTTTTTGGCAATAACTTGTGGAAATGAATCATCCCAACGTTCTCATGAAAGCAGATGCAAAATCCTGGAACAGATCAGTTTGCAACACTAAAGCTAAACAGGCTGTGATTATTGTAAATGAAAAGCAAAAAAATAATCTCTTGGTTTGTTACTTCACCCTGTATGAATTTTCTGCCTAAGTGACCTTTTAAAGCCTTGCTGCTGCTCCTGTTGCCATCCAGGAGGCTGCAGGGAAAACCCAAAGTAATAATTTTGCTCAAGTAATTCTGAAAAACCTTACTGTTGTTGGCCACACACACATAATGCTCTTTAATAACTAACGTACAGTGGAACTGCTGGCATAAACTGAAAGCAATGTAAGCTGTTTGTTTCCCCAAAAGGGGAAAACTACTTTTTTCTCTCCCCCCTTCCCCCTTCCCCAGTCTTTCTGTGTGCAGTTTTCATTAGGCAGCAGCTCTGTGCACTCTCAAGCTGCTGTGCACAGATCAAAGTCCAGCCTGGCAAGGCTTATTAGCACTGCATGATGATGGTGTTATGAGCTGGCTCTGAAAGCTGCAGTACTCAAATGCTTTTCCCTCCCCAGCCCCTGCCTGGTTTTTTAAATCCTTTTAGTTATTCTGTGGTCATGCTTTCCCTTCCCTAGCAGCCATGAGGCCTAGACTGTTTTTTTAAAAGGGAGGACAAAAAAAAAAAGGGAAAGGAAACAAAGCTTTGATGAGACAGTCCAATTCCAGGAGCAAATACTTTAAAATAACCCAACCCCACAACTGCAAAGAGATTCCTGATGAAATTGTGAGTCTGTAATAACATTTGAGACTCACATTTGTTGACACTGTTTTAAGAGATTTTCCTGCTTCCCCTCTTAACTATATGCAACAGGACAGGGTGGGTTGGAACTAGATGATCTTAAGGTTGTTTCCACCCCTAACTATTCTAGGATTCTATGAAAGAAGATGGGAGAACAAAATTGAAAGTAAATATGGTCTCCTCATGGGTTTCTCATAACCAGCTCTAGGAAATGTGGTGGGGCTCTGGGAAATTCAGTTTGGTTTACAGGTTTGTAGGCCAATGTTTCCCCAGCTTCCTTTGGATCTATCTGATCATACAGTATTTTAATGGATGCAACCACTGCTGTGCAGAAGCACAGCAAGGCCAAGCGTGCATGCCCGATCACACCAACAGCTTTCATATATAAATACCTGAAATAATGGTCTCTGGACATATAGCATTGCTGCAAGGATTTCTTTGACTTTAGAAGCAGTTTTGCTGTTGTATCTCAAATAGCAGGTGTCCGGAGCCAGCTTAGGGCCTACGGGCACAATTGCTATTCCCCGGGAGAGGCATGTTGCAACATACAAACTGCAGAGCTTTGTTGTGGGTTGCCACTGCCCAACAATTATCTGAAATGCAAGGAGCTGTCAGGAGGTGATTTACGCTGTACCAGGCATGCGAGAAACAGGAGTACAGTTGCCAGCTTCTTGGTCCTGACCAAATCTGCTCCAGCCATCTGAGTTTATTTTCTTCTTTTGCCCTCTGGATATGGTTGAAACGGTAGTGATTTTTTTTCTAAAGAAAGCCTTTCAGAGCTCCTGCTTAAAAACAAAATGGCCTCATTCAGTAAATGTCCTACTTCTCACAATGTCTGCTGGCGGAGGAGGTAAATGGAGGTAAATACTGCGGGGTGTTGTGCAACCAGGTTTTTGTCTGCTTAAAGCTGAACTGAAAGAAGGTACAAAAAGAAAACCAGAGGACATTTTGCGAATGTTCAGCTGAAAGTCCATCTGTAGCCCATTTATGAAGTCCCAAGATCAGTGATGAAAACTGAGGCTCTGATACCCTCTCTCTTTCATATACCTAATTATAGCACATTGCTGGAATAACAAAACTCCTTAAACAGATGTAATGTAAATGCTGTGGAGTCAACAGGTTTTGGTTTTTTTTTAAAAAAAGGGTTATAAAAAAAAAAAGGTTATCAGAACAGGCCTACAGTTTTTCATTACAAAGCCAGCCCAAAATGGGATGGGGTCTCATGAGTCTAATGGAATATAAATTATATTAAAACAACGATATTGCTGTTAAATGTTCAAAGCTCACTTCATAACAGATAAAAATCTCCGAGACTGAAAAGGAATACTAATTAATAGCAGGCTGTAAACTGTAGTCTCCAAGAGCCAAAACACCCATATTGACAGAGTCACATCAGCATTCAGTAATACAATCACCAGCAGTTAAGAGGGCTCCATTTTAAGTAATGAGCTTTCATTTCAGCTGACAACAGAAAAAAAAAAAAGAGGATGATGGATGTCACATTCTTTTCACATAGAGATAAAACACATGGGTGAATTTGGTCATAATGCTGGGAGACACTATTTACAGAGATCAAGGGTAACCTCCCATCCTGATCCTGGCAGGAAATTCTCAACTTTGGAGATCCAAGTAGGAGCAAGTAAATCTATGAAAACAACAGGAATTAGGTTGGTATAAGAGGCTGCTGAATGACTGATGCAAGGAGGAAGAAAATGACTAGAATATGAAATAACAGCAGGGAGAAGACTGGTTATGTTCAGTGTGACCGACAAAGGCCAGTTTCTAGGCAAAATCATTAACCTTCATTTGATGAGCAACTGTGACCTCTTTAGCTTTTTATCTAGCTCAGAGGTTCTGCCTCAGAGTCCAGCTGAATAACCTGAAAATCTGGAAATACAAAATGGACTGCAAATAGATGTTTAAAAAGGTTAATAATTACATGCCATGCATTGCCATTAAGTACAGTAGGAAAACACCAGCTTGGTGAATGACAGCTATGATATAACTGAAAACCTCTGGTGGGATGAGTCGTGCTACTCACATGGGCCCTGGGGGTGCTGCTCTGCCGGGCAGCGGTGCTCAAAGCGGCCATGAGCTTGTGAGGAGGCATTAGGATGGGGCAAGTGCTGGCACATAGGGCACTGCTGGTGCTCAGGTCCAAAAAACACTCTGGAGATCAGTGGTCCTGGAAGGTCCTGGGAGTTCAGCATGGACACCAGTGGTAAAGGGGGATCCAGGTGCCTGACGCCCATGACATCTCGTGACTGGGAGTTGTACCCTGTGTCCACAGTCCCCAGCTCTGCTGGGGGTCTGTTTCCTGAGTGTTGCTGTGACCGTGAACTCCATTGGCTGCTCTCCTCCAGTGAGTCCTCAGGAGCATCAGACAAGCTTTGCTCTGATTTACTGGAGTTGTGTCCAGTGTCAGCTGAAAGCTGCGATCTTGGCTGCATGCCTGATTTGTCCATAGCTACAAGATGCATCTTGGAGGCAACTACTCCAGCTATTGATTCACTGGGGGAGCAGAAACACCCATCGACATCAGGATCATTGTATCTGGACCACAAGCTGCTATCTGGCTCCGTGGATGGCACTGACTGATGATGTGCTGGTGCTCTGCAGAGGCACGATGCATTTGCCACAGGCTCAGGTGTTTGAGCAACACATGGTCTCTGGGACTCCTCATCCTTCGTATCTTCTCCAGCAGACTGCAAAGCCTTTTCCAAGATATGTTTGGGAAATGGGGACCATGGCATGGATTCATCTATTTCAACTGGTATGCTTTGACCCATAGAAGTGCCTGAAAAAGTAGAAGAAACAGAAGAAACACTGTAGACGTACAGCCATGCAGACAAATGCCTGTCATTAGTCTTCACTCAGCGACTATAAGATGGAATACTGAAAACCAGTATGTATTCCTTTCCAATATGTATTCTTTGTGTTTTTGTGGTTTTTAAAAAGACAGGAAGAAAGCAACAAAAAAGGTCTGTTTGAATTTTGGCAAAGCAAGAGAATAGAGGGTTAGCTGGAGTGTGGCTAGCACAGAGTTACATTTTGGACTAACCTGATACAGAGGCCATTTCCAAGTTTTGTAGTCACACCGGAAATGAGAGTCAGCTGCCTTACTTCAATGCCAGGATTTTCCAGCAAACTGGAAAACAAGAGAAACAACTATTGTGAACATGGTACAGTTTCACATAGGCAATAATCCTAAAATAACTCCATCTCAAAGACTGGAAAAGAAATACCAGTTAGAGTTCTGGAAATCGCATTGCGCAAAACAGATGCTTTTATGGGATTTCTGGAACTTAGTGTTCCTGTTGAGCCTGGAGGGGGAAAAGCACATGAACTCCCTCTCAGAGGTAATTTCTGCAACTGACAAAAGAGCAGGCTACTTAGTTCTGGAGGTTTGGCTCTGGCATATTCCAGGGAATGTAATCACTTGCAATTCTTCTACTCCAGACCTTCTAATAATAGCTTCACATTGATGCTTCAGCTCTAAACTTCACCACACACCCAGCTGAGTAATTTCACTCCAAAGCTTGTTCCCAAGAGTTGCTGCTTATTTTATCAAACCACTTCATGCTTGAGCCATTTTTCTTCTATCACACTGGAGAAGCTAAAATCACCAGCAGGCGAGTTATTAGCAAAGAATGGACTAAGCACTCAAGCAACAGGAATGACCACTGGCAACAGAATCTGGCTTGAAAGCCTGATAAAAAAAATCAAAATGACAACACATTTGAGGAACTTCTAGTAACCCAAGGATTTCTCCCAACTTCAGCCACAGTAGCTTGACCAGAAAAGTCATATGAAGAACACATTCAAATGACCACAGTATTAAAAGCAGTTGAACAAGATGACAGAAAGGTGTAAGCCAGTGTCTCAACCTTCACCTTGCCTCTCACAGCGAGTCTGTAAAATCAAATGATGTGCCCTGTGCTATAGGGCAAGAGTGAGGCTTTACATTCATGTTGATCAGATAAGATTACATATATTTCCTCCTGAAAGTATCTCTGGCATAGAAAATTCTGCGTGTAACATCTGCTGGGAAGCAGGATAAAAACTGTGCTTTGCTGCTGGGCTGCAATGTAAATATTCCTCCTCTGTCTAACTTAAAACTTATCTATGCAGAAGATTTGCCTTATATGCATACATACCCCATGTTATAATAAGCACGTTCACAGAGAGACTTATCCCGGGATAATTACAGTGGGATAATTATGCTGGTAAATTTTCCCACGTAGGCAAGTCCTCAGAGCTGCTATTAGTTGTACCAACACAGTGACCATGCTGTTCCTCTGACAGCTGCAGCCCCCTGCGTCAGAGCACTGGGTCTGGTGCCAAACCAGCTCCTTCCGATACAAGCACCCAGGCTTGAAATCCTGACAGCCAGCTCACCACCATCACGCATCTCTCCCTGCAGTTTGCATCCCTTTTCCTCTATGCCACATCACTAAAGCCAGCCTGCTAGCTGAGTCACGGTTCACTGACAGTCGTAAGTGATGTGCTGGGAAAGGGAAAACCCTGAGCTCTCATAATCAGCACAGGACTGTGACAGGGACTTATGTTGTGCTGTTGTGTGCAGCACTGGCAAACCAGTCTTTACCGGGGACCTTTGGTCAGATTGCAGTTTAAATTAAATGGTGGCTGCCTTGTGGTGGTGACTCACCAGGACAACACAGTGCAAAGTCAGATTTACAAAAATCAGGGTGCAAAGTTGCTGAGTGGTCCACAGCCAGACTTAGAGGAGCGTCTGTAAGGTTAGGTGTCAAACTCCCTGCAAGGCATCTGCCTCTGTCTCATCTCAATAGCTTTGTAAACCTGACTCTTGGTTCATTTGGACTCGAAGTGCCAGCTCAGACATGCTTCAACTTGTGGATATCTGTCCATTAGCTCATAAACTGAATGACTCGCACTGGAGCAGCTCAAATCACATTGCAAACTCTTATTCTCCTTTCTGAGCACCTCCAGTGAGCTGGCTCCTTAAGCAAAATTCACCCTGGCATTCACAAAGCACAAGCTCAGCTGTGCGGTAGAGGTGCACAGTTCTACCTCTTTAGCTACACTTGTTGTCTGAGCATCCCTCTCATTAGATATAATCCTCAGCAAATATCCAAACATGGATTTTCAGAAATGAATTTATAGTGAATCATACACTAGGATGCTTCTTTGGTGGTCTCTGAAGTAGTGATCAAAATGCTAAATTAACACTTTGAATTCAGATCTTCTATATTCAACAGCCTTTAGTTCAGGCATGATGACAAGAAGAACAGATTTCTCTGGAGAAATTGAGAACTCAGTCCAGAGCTCAGTGAAGTAAATTGGAATCTCCCTAATGACTTCAGTAGGTTTTAGACTGGGTGTCAGATGGGATTTAGAAGTTAATAAATTCCTTTGGAGGCTACGACCTCCAAAGTTTTTTGTCTTTTTTTTTTTTTTCAGTTCCATTGCTGCCATCTGTCTGTCTGTGAAATGGATCATGCACAGACTGCGTGAACCTAATGAGAGGCACAACATGGGCAGAAAAATTCAGACGTGTTTCCTTCAAGTTTGTCATTTATTGTATTTACTCTGCCTTTTGGAGGAGGGATATTAAAACCTTATTAAACTGTATGTCAAATTATCAGCTACTAAACTCTTCAACTGACTTACTTCAGAATAGTTTAATAGGTCTTTCCTACTAGTTTAGTCCTCTGAATGGATGAATGCTTAATACTCAAATCAATATTTAAATGACAGCCTTATTTCTTTCCTGTGTAACATGACCTAAACATTCTGAAAATTCCAAAAGAATCCAAAGATCTGAGTAAAAATAATTTAGTCAGACAGAAGAGAGATCTGACTCCAGCACTTGTGCTTTTACCTGCAAAAGCTTCTAGAGCTTTTTAATATGAAATTTGCAGGATAGCTGAGCACAAAAGCTGAGTTTTGATACTCATGCACAGCCCTTGCTCCTGTGGGGCTGAGGTAGCAGGCACTGAGGGGCTGAGGGCTTTGGTGTTAAAACAGACACATCATTAAAAAGGAAGAAAAGTGACTTCATCCTCCTCCTCCCTCAGTAGCTCTGGTTGGAGAAAGAAGTTGTTACAACAGCAGAGCTCTGTAGGTAGAGATAGCCCTGAGGATAAATTAACCCCAGGACATGCTGAACGCTTTTTCAGCAATGCCGGGAATGGTATGTGGATGGGAATTCCCGACAGAAATCCCCACACTGCTTTGGAAATTCCACAGATGATTCAGAAACATCCTCCTCCAAAAGCAGTGCTTCAGGACTTTGTTTCTGCTCAGCTGAAACAGGCTTTTGGAAAAAGACCCAGTGCTGAGCCCATTATATTGTTATTTTACATTGCCTCGTGCTAGTTTCATTAGGTTTCCTTTGACTTTTCTAGCTAGCTTATCTTGCAAATATAGTTATTCACAGGACAGAAAAATCATTCACTTAGATCTCCCATGTTGAAGAATTAGGGTAAAGGAATGCTTCAGCATATTGAAATATCCCTAGAAACCTGTAGCCTGATCCCTTTTCTGGCACAGAGACCGCTGGAGAATGTAGAATGTGCCCAATCTCATTTCCAAAGATACTGCATCTTCAAGTCAGATCATGATATTGCCAGAAAGCTTTGAGAATTTAATATCCCACCTGCACCTATGACTATGTAGGAGATTGGTGATAACCAGCTGGAGCTGTTGCATGTATTTCTGCTTGTAATAAAGTGAAGAGGCCCTTCTTAAAAGGACAGAGTAGCCAGGCCTAGACTGCTCTCAAAAATGTTGAAGGAACTCTGTAAACCACCCTTTCTCCTTCACTTCCTTCCTATGCTCATGCATCCAGTTCTGCAATGTGCATTAATGCAGCAAAATAACCTTCCTGGGTGTGTGCTCAGTGACTCAAGCTCCTGGGAAGAAACCTCATCCCAGGTCCCTTGTGAGCCTTCCTACAGCTGGAGAGGTTCATCCACTATTCCTGCTGGGTGGGAGGCTCACCACTGCTGGGAGAGCATAAAAAAAGAACAAATTTCTCTGCAGGTTGGTAGAGATGAGCCTGAGCACTCAAGTGTGAAGGTTTGAAGCAAGACCCAAATCCCCTAAAAACATATGATGGAGGCAAGGGGCTGGCCAGGGAGAGGAAGGGTGTTAGGCTCAGGCTTATCTGTGCAGTTTTCTCGTGGCTGGTTGTAAAATCTGCCAAGTATTTCATCTGTTTCCCAGCACAAAGACTTGTCAGGATGCACTGTCCCAAAGCACACAACCAACCGTCTATCTGCTTTTGATTAGAAAACTTCTGTCGTGAGGAAACAGAAGAGTCTCTGCAACACTAGCATAGCTGTGCTTCCTGTCTTTTCTGGAGAGGGAGAAAATATCTTTTCTCTTTTGATCAAAGTTATATTTGTCTACATTCTTAAAAAAGAAAATACTAGGATGAAAAAGAAACCTTACCTTCTGTGGTGTAAGGGAAGGGCTTTTTATTCATCACTCAAAGCATTTCTGAAATGGCACAGGTATAGATTAAGGCAAAGCTGGGATCACAAAAGGTGGGGCTGAACACGGATTTTTTGATTTCCAAATAATTCCTGTGTAATTTGGATGAGTCCTTTAAACTTTTTGATGCTGCTGATATCTGTCTGCAAGACAGGATTATGCAGATGCAGAATTTGCAAGCTGCCACGAGGATGCACACACTGAGATTGCAACAAATGCTGGGGCCATGGGGTCAGATAAGTGTGTGTAAGTATACTTGCTTTAAGTGCAACTTTTTCTACAGAAACACTGCACATAGCGTTCCTCAAAAAAACTCAGAGACAAATTCTTTTAGGAGAGCAAGTGCAAATATGGGAACTGCTTTGGGTCTATAACCTAAATAAACAGTCAAGGAAATCCAAGCTCCAGAGTTTCACACTTCACCATGAAGAATTTTGGCTGATGTCATCACAGAGGCATATCCTCTCCTTTGGGTACCCTCTTCAGTGAAGACTAAGGCAATGTGTCACATTCCTGGCCCAGATTTTAAGACCTCTAGGGCAGGTAATGTTTATTTTTATGACTTCTGGTAAAAGTAGAAAAAGAACATGGAAACAACATTTCTCTTCAACAGTGGTTAATATGGTTGGTTTTACATAGTTTCTACATTCATGGCATGAAGGTCTACATACGCCAGGAAAACAGGAGAACATCCTCCCTGCATGGCAAACATCACATTCCCTTTTGCAGCTTTCATGTTGCTCACTGCGCAATACATGGTGCAAAGGCTAGTGTAGACCTGATATTTCTCTGCCTTTTTAGTGTAGACTTTGATTTCATAGAATCACAGAATGGTTAGAGTAGGAAGAAACCTTTAAGACCATTTAGTTCCAACCCCCCTGCCATGGGCAGGGACACCTTCCACTAGACCAGGTTGCTCAAAGCCCCATCCAACCTTGCCTTGAACACTGATGGGAATGGGGCAGCCACAGCTTCTCTGGGCAACTTTTGACAGTGCCTCACCACTCTCACTGTAAAGAATTTATTTGTAATGTCTAATCTCATTCTACCCTCTTTCAGTTTAAAGCCACTATCCCTTGTCCTGTCACTACATACTGTTGCTAAAAGTCCCTCTCCAGTTTTCTTGCAGGCCCTCTTCAGGTACTGGAAGCTGCTCTAAGGTCTCCTTCTTTCCTTCAGGCTGACAAGCCCAGCTCTCTCAGCCTGTCTTCATACGAGAGGTGCTCCAGCCCTCAGAGCATCTTCATGGCCTACTTTGCACTCCCTCAAGCAGTTCCACATCCCACTTGTGTTGGCAGCTCAAAGTTGAATGCAGTACCACAGGTAGGGTCTCATGAGAATGGAGTACAGGGGAAGAATCACCTCTCTTGACCTGCTGGTCACAATGCTTTTGATGCAACCCAGGATATGGTTGGCTTTCTGGGGTGCAAGTGCACACTGCTTCTTGTCAATCAATGTCCACAAGTCCTTCTCCTCAGGGCTGCTCCATTCATTCTCTCTGCCCATGACATATACATGTAGTAGGAATGTTAGGCAGTAAGTAGTAAGAAACTAGAAGTACAACACCCTGAAGCAGGATCCAAACAGGCATCTCATATATAGGCAGCATTTCCTGACAGTTTTCTAATCTTTGTGAAATACAAAAATGTCTGCAATGTTTTTTAGGTATTCTTAAAAACGTATTTGTTTGCCAGAGATTACATCCCACTCATTTCTGATTATTATAAAACTCCTGTAGGCATTGAATAACCCCCAAACTGGGATATTCCATGGCCCCGGGACATCTAAATATCCTGGCACAAAATTGCGGCTAGATAAGTGGGGTTGGACAGGGGGGACCACACTGAGGGGCATAAATCTCCCCAGCTTGCTTTTCTATAGCTTTGTGCCTTACATTGGAACCTTCAATTCCAAATGGATGAGAACTTCTGGTATTTTGTGGGGCTGATGCATCCCTTGTCCCTCCCTGCTCTCAGGGCATGTGGGTGGTGGGGGGGTGTGGATAAGCCTGGGGGAACCTGACGTATCTCCCTCTGCCAGCGTGAGAACAGCCTCGCTTGCTTGCTTTCATGTACTGTGCAGAAATGTATATGTTTCAGACGTGTACTCTCTGCCAAACTTCAAAAGCTGCTGCGGGGGGTGGAGGGCACTGACAGACATGAATGCCATAATTGCACATGCCGTGTTTCCTGCCTTACAAAGACAAAAGAAAACCCAACCCCATTAAAAAAAAAAAAGAATAAATAAAGAACAGCATTCAAGACATTGTTGGTGCTCAGCAAGAGAAGGCCAAGCCTCAGAGGCTGATGGCACTGCATGCTGCAGCACAACTGGCAGATGCTCCTAACAGCCAGTGGCAGTGATGAGTGATCACGAGGTCACCATCCCTCCTTCCTGTGCCTCTTGCACCCCTGTCTTCCGCATCACCTATTGTGGGACTCACAGCCCTGTTCTGTGTGGCAGGGCACTGCTGACTGCTTGAAATGACATGGATGTGGCTAGGCCAGGCCTTGAACGGCCTGGGGCTTCCAGGAAATGAGAATTTCTTGTCTGGTGGTTACTGGTTGCGGTTGAAGACCAGTAAGCCCACTGCTGTTCTCACTGCCCAGCTGCCCACCCAAAGCTAGCCCTAGAAAAGTGGCATTCTGAAACAATCAGCTACTGTGTGAAATGGGAGCAGGTTTTATATGGCTGATTTTATCCTAATTAATTACCCACTATTTCCATACCAATGCCATGCAGAACTGTGCCAAAGGGGTCTACAACCCTGTTTCTTCACATTTCACAGCCACCTCTCCCTCACTAGGTCTGTCCTATATGGCCCTGGAGCAGCTGGAGAGGAGATGAAAGGTAAAGAAGAGGAATGAGAGGTGGAGAGGGGGAAGAAAAGGGAAGTGAAAGAAAAGGAAAGAAGAGAAGTGCAAGAGGGAGAAGAGGAAGAGGGAAAGAGAGAGTGAGAGGGAGAGAAGGGGAAGAGAGCTGTCTGCCAACAAACCACCTTGAGCTTGCACAGCCGCGCAGGGCGGGAGCGGGATCAGGCCTGGCTGCCAGGCATTGCCAGGCTGCTTTGCAAATAGGCAGGACAACATTTCGACACCAGGCGTGTCCGTTCCCAGTGTTTACCCCCAAACCCTCCTGATTTAAAAAAAACAAACCAAAACTTCAATGAAACAGCTGAAACATGTTGTAAACATCTGTGGAACTCAGGCTATCATTGCACGAGAGAAGGGGGAGAAAGCGAGTCAGACAGCAATTTGAGGGGGAAAAATACCCACTGAGAGCCAGAAGTGGGACAACAGCTAATTACAAACAGGGCTTGAGAAAGGCAACATCTCTCACACTTCTTACCTTGTAGGCGAGGGCTGCTCACGTTGAGCTGACCAAGGAAAGCGAGAGGGCTGGAGTGCCTCCTGCGCACCCCGCCGCGCTCTCGCCGTGCCCGGGGCTCCTTCCTCAGCCGGCCGGGTGGTTTTTTCTCTTCCTTTTACGACACCCTCCCTGCCTCTCCCAGGTAAGCGGCAGAACTGGCTCTGCAGCAGGAAGTGGAAGAGGCATGCACGGCACGGCACAACGTGGCGGCGGTGGAGAGGGAGCCCCGGGGGGGGAGTGACACTTTGAAGCTTAAAACTCTCTCGACATTCCTGCGTGTGGCTCGCTCCCTCTCTCTGAGGAAGCCAGGCTGCCTCTGAGTGAGCCCCACAGATAAACAGCTGTAGGGGAAACCCGGTGTGATTCCTAAATAGTGCGCCTTGCCGGGAAAGTCATCCTTTGCTTTCCGTCCTCAGTCGCTTGTTGTCAATGCCAAATGTTAAACCAACTGTGATTCAGACTACTGAAGACAATCACATGATGGGGATAAGAACTATATGGAGAACAAAAAAAAAAAAAAAGGGATTTCTCGACTGTTTGTTGGTTTTTTCCTTTAGGTTAGACTCCTAGACACTTCCAAGTTTCTCTCTACACCCCCAAGGAGTAGAAACTTGCTTTTCTTACAAGCTGAAACCCTTATGTATGTGCGCAGCTCTTGAAGGCTGAGTAACACTGGTGCTGATGGCACGGTGCAGTGGGGTTCAAAGAGCCCCATCAAGCCGTGGCTGCTTATGTTGGTGCAGTGCCAGGCTCCACAGCAGCAATCCCTGCTGAGCCCGCTGGACACAGCTGTGCATCCCAGCCTACACTGCTCTCCTGACCCCCCCCCACTCAGCACATCTCCCTTCCAAGAAGCTCTTCCTGATCTTTAGCCTACATTTGCTTCACTTAACCCTGGGAGGAGTCTGACTTGTATGCAACTTGTGCATGGCTCTTCATCCTCCGTGGACTGCCGTCACACACTGCCTGAATGCCTGACAGGCCAGTCCGGCCACACAGGGATGTCCAAGCCATAGCTGAGCTCTGAGCTCAGGCAGTGCCACCACTTCTCCTTCCTGCACCCTTCTAGACCCTGCATCTTGACACTAGGGTCTGAGGAGGGAGTCACCTGCCTGGCATTCCTCCCTGGGACCAGCCTTCCCTGGGAGCCTGCCATTCTGTCAGCCCCATGGCAAAGCCATGAGCCAGGCACTTACTTCCTCTTGCCAAGGAATGACTGCCCACATTTCTGGTGGGAAAATTCAAGCGGCTGGAACAGCATGTGCCCTAAGCCAAACACCAGATACGATTGTATTGGCAGCAGTGCAGTGATGCCATGCAGCCTGCGCCTGTCTTCCTCCAGGAGAAGTCCCATGTCAGCCTGACCCACCAACTGGCTATCCTGACCCCTTCCTTCCCTCCCTCCTTCCTCCCCTGCTGAGGCACAGGCCGACAGGACACCAAGGCTCCCTTTTGGTGCATCCCAAAGTTGTCCTTCCCTGCCCGCAGACTGCCCATGCAGTCCCTGCTCTGTCAGCGGGTCCCAGCCTGACCCGGCCATGACGGGCAGTTGATGCTTGCAGCAAGAGTGGCTGCATTACAACCACAGTTGATTGAGTCAGCTGAGGGTTTAATCCCTCTGGTTTGCAGTCAAGCATGGTGGCTCCGCTGCATGCCTGTTTTGCACCATGAACACCCCTTTTCCACAGAGCTGCCTGAGCCATGAGCTGCATGACACCTGTTTCTGCCTGCTGCCCTGCTCCCCAGCCTCCCTGACAGCCTCCTGCCTGGAAACGACAATGGCCCCACTGCAGCCTGTGTGCCACAGTGGGGAATGGCAGCCCAAGGACATGCAGGAGCCAAAATCAGGACCTAGGTGAACGTAGAGAGGATGGGAGCAGGGAGGGAGAGCTGCTCTGAGGAGCGCCTGACCTTCCTTGGGCTTACATGAAGGACTGACGTAGTGTTTGCAGTGTGTCGATCAGCTCCCCAGGGAGTGCGGGCAGTCGCAGATGGACATGGGAGCTCAGTGCACAGAGTATCCTATGGGGATGTTGCATCTATACCCACATTTGTGGGGTTTGTTTGTAAAGGGCTGAGCTGTGTAGCCAACAAACACCTCTCCCTTCACGCAGTGGAGTGAGCTTCCATGCCAACATTGGTTACACTCAGTCTTCTGTTATCCATTGGTAATACCCTGAACATGGGGCTGCGACACCCAGCATATAGCAGTGGCTACCTGCCTTCCCTGTAGATAGCTCTCTGTTGGCTGGAGGAGGCAGGTTGTGGCTGTGACAGAAATGCCCTTGCTAGCTCACTCAGCATTCAGGCCTGCGGGGTTACTTTGATCCTGACCACTCATTTGAAGGGTATTTGTGGCCCAAAGAAAGGAGTGCAGAGTAGCCTTCCTCCCAAGGACATGATGCCTGGGGAATACACTGTGAAATCTGGCCTTGTGAGCATTTCCAGCTCCAGAAATCACACCTATGGGCCAGTGTCTGTCCTCTCTAACTTGCCAGACCCCAGAAACCAGCAGGTACTTGAGGCTCTTCCTCTCACTTGAGCTTTATGTATTTTCTTAGCAGCCTGAGAAATGGGAAAAAAAAGACCTTGAAAGACACTCTCTGCTGGCTGTGTGAACAGCACTGTCTGCAGACAGGGTCCAGTCCAACCCTAAGTACTCTCCACAAAATTGTAGAAACTGCTATCAATTAACTTGGTTTTTTGGATCAGGAAACTCAGAGAACACATATCCAAGTTTATTTCAGCATTTCAAAAGCCTCCCCCATCCCCAAAACTGAGGCCATCCTAATTGCCTTATGAAGGCCTGTTTTATATTTCTTAGGTCTTCATGTTGACTTCACTGAAATCTGGATCAAGCTCTGACTCTTTAAAGTTAGTATCTCATCTGTACGTTATTTACAAGCAGAATGTGATGCATCACATTGGGCCCGTCATAGAAAGTACAGATTAATATTCAAGTGCAGGATGAGTGTTTTCATTGGCAAGGCAACTAACATGGAGACTTCTTATAAAAAGTGGTTGCTAGTCCTTCAGGAGTTGTAATATTTCATTTTTGATTAGCAAGATAATGTCAACTTCAAGTGCTGCTTTCTGTATTTCCTACCACGTCTACACAGAGAACTAAATCATAAATGTTTTTGCTTCCAAATGATTAACTGTTCAAATAAAGCACTGTCATGTTGCTCCACTTTTAACATTGGTGCTGTGAATTAACCTGGAGACATTGCAATGAACATTTATCCCTTAGCTTAACACACATGACACTCTTGCTTCAGTCCTCTAGATTTGGCTTGCTCGTTGCTGCTTCTCTCTGCTTTCTGCAGAGAAACTGGGACTTTCTTTCATGTCTTGCTGTTTAGAGTGCTAGGCACATGCCTAAAAAAATAATTTGCACTTTTTTTTTCCTTTTTTTTTTTTTAAGGCTCTTGCTTTGGCATTTTTCAGTCACGCCTTGGAGAGACACCAGAAAGGAAAGAAAACAGTACCTGGATGTTAGCTTGTGCAATGTTTCTAATTAAACCTTTCATAATGACAAAAACCCTCCTGCCATTTGCTAAGATTTTCCCCACAGCATTATGCATGCTCTTAATTAAGAGCAGAAGCTAAGTAATACCTATTTCATTCCCTCTTGCTTCTAATTAGTCATCCATTGATCATTACCCACCCAACATTTGACAATTAACAGAGCACCCACTCTCCGCAGGACTGGGATGTGTAGTCCTTCAGAAATGACACGTCTAGAATAACGTGAGGGGAGCTGTGTGGGTGAGTAATGGGGCGAGAGGTAGGGGGAAGGGGAGGAGAAGGCCACCCAAGTGGAACAAAAGATGTGTAACATATGCAAATGTTCAGTATGCAGTATGTGCTTTATACTCTGGATGTATATGAGGTCATGTACAAAGCTCAGCTGGCGGCCGTGCTGCTTTTGGGAGGCATGGGAATTTGAGGGAACACTTGAGCTCTCATATCATCAAATGTACCTAGTCCTCTGTCTTCAAGATGCAAAATGGTTCCTCATTTGGCTCTTTGCCTCTGCTTTTTTAGGAGGAGGAGTTAGCATCTGCTTCTCCATTGTCAGGGGGACTGTGGGCTGTATCAACACAGTCCCTGCCAAGTCACCCCAAGATCCAGCTGCAGCTACAGTCATGCCCAAGCTGCTGCCAATGGCCAGGACCACAGTGTCTGTGGGAGCCAAAGGAGCCTCCAGGGAAACTGCAGGCCCCTTCTGCATCATTATTTCCCCCTGGGAGCCTGGCCCAGCATCAGAATTGCCCCTGGCACTGCTCAGTGCCAGGAGGAGCTAGCTGGGACCACCACACAACTTTTCCAACACCAGGAACCCTTCCTGTGCATCTCTTCAATGGAGAAATACAGCAGTGTATCAGGGCTGGAAGGCAGTCCACAGCCTGAACTGTGGCAGTCAATAAAGTATAGGGGGTACCAGGGCTTTTAGGTAGGCCTCTGGAATGAGGGTGAGCCCCAGGACATGTGAGTAAGGCTACAACATGGTTAGAAAGCTTCCCTGCATCCTTTTCTCTTTTTTTCTTTTCCGATGAAAATCAATCCATTACAGGGCTCAGGGATTTTGTGTGAAACTGTGACAATAAGGAGCTGGGGAAACTTCACAAGACTCTTGGTGCGGGGGCTCAGCAACAAATGCTGATGCACAGAAAAGCAAACCAGAGCCCTTGGCAAGCTGTAGTCTGGCTCTAGAGGAAGGAGGATAATCTCATTTCTTTGCTCTTTGCCCTTTTAGCTATTTACAGAGCTTAATGCTGAGTTATTCCCAACAATGAGCTGAACAATTGAACTTCCATCTGGCCTGGTCAGGCAGATGCAGCACTTGCTTCCCAAGTCACAGGGACACTAGTCCTGTGATCCCCCCCCCCATTGGACATACACTATTTACCTCTACCCTGTAACAGAGAAGATATTTACAGTTGGTAACATAAACTGCAGTTCCTGCTTACCAGCCTGCTTTAATCTGATCACCTAAATCCTTGGGCACAGTGAAACACAGGCACTCTGAGCACAGCTGGTGCTGCGACCTTTGGATCTCCCTCTGCACGACATGATGCAGAGCCTACCAGCTGATGACCTGTTTTTCTTGGGAGGCATTCCTTTCTGCCCTCTTGCAAACCCACACCACAGGGCCCAAACTGCAGCCATGCCCTTGGGAGACATGTCTTCTCGCCCTGACTATCAAGTCAGCTTCAGGTTGCTCTTTGCAGTAGCCAGGGACCCAAGTCATCACCAGGCTGCGGCAGTAGTACTTGCCGCTACCCTCCCTCTTCCAGCCTGGGAATAGTGGGAGACACGGAACATGCAGTAGGAGACAGGGAACAACAGAAAAATAACAAACCCCAAACCCCAAAACAACAGAGAGAAGCTCTTTTGTTCTTAACACCATTCTGTCCTCTAATCTATTCATGTCTCAGTCCTACATTTTTGTTAAGCATTCAGCTGCAGAGAAAGAATGGAATGATGCTTGTATAGGCATAAATGTCTTTTGTGTGCAAATTGCATTTTGAGATACAGATATACACACACACACATGAAAACACTGGCTGTATTAAAAAGTCAACAGAAGATAGCTCACAGACTTAAGATCAGTTAGCATTTCCCCTCTAACATTCAAAATGAGCCCCCATTATCTGGTTTTAGCTGTCGAAAGTTCTCCTGGCAAATTCAGAAGCACTGAGAGAGACTAACACTCTACACCAGTGCCATCCTGGCAAGATACCTCCTTCCCTTTTCCGTTGAAAGAGAACAGGTTCTAGTTTGGTCTGGGCTGGAAAATCCAAAACTGAAGTGGCTTATTCAGTTAAGATGGCAGGGAATGCTGCCCCAACTGACGGGAGCCCCTTCAGTGATAAAATTTCTCTGTGTATGAGTCACAGGAAATTATAATCACTGCTTAGAGACTGTAGAACACAATGAGATATCTGAGCTACAAACAGACTTCAGTTATTCTTGAAAGACAGACAGACCCTCAAGCTTGCACGATTGGAGAAAATAAATATCCTTTTGTCTGCACTGCTGGTGGTAATTTCCCATTAGACAGGAAAATTCTTCTTTGATGAATGAATACTGTCTACACATTAGAAGAGGAGCTACTGTATATCTCCTAATAGCTCTTGCATGCTTGGGCTCAGCCTCGTGTGAGGCCCATAAGCCCCTTTAGTATAATGTGGTAGCAGTCATTAGTGTACTGCATTTTTCATTGCAGCATTTGAGAAAAGGATGGGGCATATTAAAATAATTTTGAGCAACTTCCCACTCACCTTGAAGTTATGTGGCCAGGTCAAAAACATTTAGCAATCTGTGCTCTGTCTGCAGATAGTCCTTTCCAGTCTAGAGGCTTAGGAGAGACACTTGCACTGGAGACAGATTTTCCATTTGTGATTATTCGTGCAATTTCATAAGTTAATAACTTTTCTGTTTTGCATTTGCTTTGTTTTTCTACAGTGGTAATTAAATCAAAACCAGAGCATCACATAGAACAAAGTCAAGCACTGTTTGCAGAAGCCAAAGAATATCATGTTATTGCCTTTGACACACTTTGGTCCTTTCTGAAGACCCACCAAGTCAATCATTCCCTTCCCACAGAACTGTGATAACAGGCATTAATTCTACAAACTGTCCCTTTCGCAGCAGTGTTGCATTTCTGCTTGTTGTTTTTCCTGGGACTGGTACAGGATTAAGCTTGACCTAGAGATGCCCAGGTCACCTCATGGCATCCTTTCAGCTGCTGGAAAGTCACCTTTTCTGGAACTACACCACACCAAGGGTCAGTTGGGAGTCAGGTCAGCTGGCTGGGGGGAGCATTTGGACAGTGGTTTTTATGTGGATGTGATTTATTTAGCCTTACATTAAAAAAAAAAAAAAGAAAAAAGGAAGAAACAGGAGGTTCTTGATCACATAATTCTACTTTTATAGTCACCACAGCTATTTGTGGTACATACACAGTGGTTAAGAAAAAGATTTTATTAATTTATAGCAAAAATGCTAACAACCTTGTTTAAATTTTTGCTAATGTTTTTATTTGAGAGATTAAAAAACCCAAACAATAAAACTCCCAACATTAAGAAAAATAAGCAGAAGAGTTACCAGTGAGAAATGGTCTGGATTTGCCACTCAACAGTGGCACCAGTCTGCACACAAGCCAGCTGCAGGCAGAGATGTGGCAGAGATCAACATGGTACTCATAGACCAAATCCGATACAGGAAACAGCAAACCCAAGAATCAGAAATAAAGGCCATAAAACCCCGACAATGCCCCATCTGAGTCTTAGTTCCAGTGAGAAACATAGGCAAAACTAATGGTTTAGGCTCATCCTGCATTGCAGATGGAAACTGAACTTAAGTCTGTGGCTGCTAAGGAACTTGGTGGAATGGCCAGGGTTTGCTACTGAGCAATAGGCTGAGCAGGTGACATTTTGGTTTTGCCAGCTCACTGTGTTACTATGGAGTCTTCAGTTCAGTTGATGATGTTTTAAGGCAGGGGGGTAGCTGTGCGAAAAAGAGGACCATGACTTGCTTTGCAAGTACTAAGAGGAAGCTGAAAGTCCAACAAGAATTATGGCCTCTTCCGTACTCCACAGCCACAGGTACAGCAAACATTGAATATATCATGTACATAACATTACTTATAGACTCTACATGTAAAATGTTAACCAATTTATCATGGAAATCTGGTAACAAGAACATTGCCATATAAATTCACACTTCAAGAAAGGCTAAGTGTGGAAGCCTCCTTTGCAAGAGGATTCTCAGTGTTTTCTATATAAAATATTGAAACGATGACAATTTTTTCTCTGAATCTCAGTTCATTATTGGGTTAGTTCTCAGGAATGGAAGAAAGGTTCTTCTTAGCAAATGTGTGAGTATTCAGAATATGAATTCACAATCTAGGTATGAAATGATTAAAAAAAAATTGCCAGCTGTCAGGAAGTCTTACTTGGCCACAATATTTTAAAGCAATAAAGGAATACAAGGCATAGAAAATCTTTTCCTGCAACACTTGTAAAGATATTCACGTTAAATGCAACAGAACTGTTAAAGAATAAACTGCTTGTGGAACAGAGAAATGAGAGACTAGTGATGCATTCAGCCATCTTCCTTACAGTTGAACTCCAGCTGTTTAAAAACATATTGACTTCATAATGTGGAAAATGGTGTCCCATAGGTAACTGCTCTGCATACTCCTATGAAAAATGGTGCTCCAAATGGCATGACACCCCTTCTTGAAAAGCTTTTATCTCCTCTCCACCATTATCTCCACAGTTTAAACAAAAGAACAACTATCCAAATGTAAAATGCTCCTTTTTTAATTACTAAATTAAGAAAGTTAAACAGTTTTAAAATGTAAACTTGCAAATAAACCATAACAAAATGTAATTAAGACTTTAAAATTTGAAACTCAGTATTAAAAACTCAATAGAAATAGAAAGGAATTTTTTTTTTTTTTTTTTTGGTTAAATGTAAGTAATTCAAGGCTGGTACAGACAACTGAAAAGGTAATACTTTGTTCTGTGCATCCTCCATGAAATGTAAAGAAGTGCATAGTAATTCCACTGGAGAACTTGCAGACATAGAGAAAGTAATTTCATTAGCAGTACAGGACATTTAACACACTTATTTTACAATGGAAAAATGTTACACATAAAACAGAAAAGTCCTAGTTGCATGACCAATGGTTTAGCAGGTGGACATGGCTAAAATGCTATGATTTTAAGACCATCTGAATGTGGTTACACTGTTTAATAAATCATTTTGAAACATTTCAGTATACATGTTTTGATACAAGAAGTCCTTGCAGTTTCAATTTTCCAGTTCAAACGGTGATGGTGTAGTTTTCTTGCTTTAAATATGTTCGTTTTAATTTCAAGAACAAATCATCACACACTTGTCAAACATTGGAAACATTACTGTAAATACAGCACATGATTCCTGAAAGAGCAAAGTTACAACCATCTACAGGTACATAATAATAAACAAAAAGTGCAATCCAATTTAAAAAAATCATGCTTGGCAAAAGCCAAAAATTAGATCACTGGCTTTCAGAATCCCACCAGTGTTTACATGTCTGCAGTAAAATTATCGCTTTCTGGGTACTGCTGCAGCAGGATTCATTCGATCACAAATGAATTTCCTCTGCAATAGCACCCATATACTGTATGTACAGGTATGTATATATATTATATATATTTTATATATAAAAAAGCAAAAAACCAAACACCTGTCCTGATTTTACTTTTTTTTTATTTGTTAAAACATGAAAAAAAATGTTTTAGACAAAGAGGCCACTTCTGGAAAATAATACTTTTAATTGAATCAGGAGAAGACTAGTTAAAATCACATAGGTTTTGCGTTTTAAAAAAAGGAAAGCACTAGGATCAGTTATTGGCACTGAGTTACTATTTACAATGAACAGAGGTTTTGCAGTTTACATAACATCAATACAATGCAGTTTTGGAGTCTTTGATTAAAAAAAACAAACAAGTGTTTTTCTCCTTTTCATTCAGGACATTCAGATTATTAGGACAAGTGGTCATAGGCAAAGGCTGCGGAAGTTCCCAGCTTCAGCCCCTCCTGTGCACGGCGGTGCTGGAAGATGCTGCACTCTGGAGAAACTGATCACAGAGTTGGAAGCTGAAGGGCAGGTGGGGCAGGGCTGAAAAACACCTGGTAATTGGTGACAGTGTCTGGAGACCAGGGGTTTACAGGTTGTCACCAGGCTGGTACTGGGGTTCTGTTGCGGTGAAGTAGTCTTCAAGGAAACCCTGCAAATACTCGAAGGTTGGACGCTCCTCTGGGTCTTTTTTCCAGCAGTGGATCATAAGCTCGTGCAAGGAGATAGGACAGTCCTGAGGACATGGCATCCGATAACCACGTTCTACTTGCTCCAAGACTTCACGGTTATTCATGCCTGTAAAATGCAGACAAATCAACACTGTTAAATTACAGCCAAATTAACCCTGGTATATCTCAATCGACAATACATATGGCTTTCTTGATCATACAAATTTTCTTTTGGTTCAGATAAACAAAATGAAACCACCCCAGTGTCTTGGTTTATTTCTTCATCTACTGCAAGGTAGTCTGGATTATTTTCTTTCCCAGCCAAGGGCTGTAGGATCCAGTGATGAGTAAAACACTGCTACCATGGTTACCCTCTTGGCTTACACCCAATGGGGAGGATTTGGCACTTTCCCTCCAACAATAGTAGCCATGAAATATCACGTTAAGTGGTGAAGGAAAATAAATGTATTACAACAAATACTATTCAAAATTCTAGAAATTAAGACAAATATTTGAAACCCTCACACTGAATATGGGCATTTCTTGAACTGCTCTGTGGGGTCATTCTGCAGAGGCTTCAAGACAAATCCTGATACTTAGGCTATCAGGGATGTACCAGCGTGCTACCAGCAGCATTACCTTCAAGGTCAGTTCAACAGCTTACTGTTGCTGATCTGCACTCCCTTGATCTGTCTTGGTTCAAATATATTCCACATTTCCAACCCAGAACAGAACAAAATTGCTCAGAAGACAAGTCAAATACCAAGCAAAACAAACCAGCCCACTGCAGAACCATAGCGATCTCTCAAAAGTAAAAAGTTCTACTACCATAATGCTTGTTTCTAAGAGGCAAGCTATGCACTTTGCTACCTTGACTTTTCTGTGCAACACCTTCAACCCCTGGTTCCTCTGCTGAAGTGCTTTTCACCATACATTAATTGCAGTCAACTTCAACTTTAAACACCTCTTCCAGGAATTCCTTTGGCACCACAGGCATGCAGAAGTATTTCAGAGAAGGTGTGCACACTGACTGTGAGCTTTGTGGCTGGCCAGTTGGCAAGCCCTGTATCAGCCCTCTGCTGAAAAATATAGTGGGTCCTGCCAATCAGCTCGGCAGGAGAACTAGTAGGGACAATCAAGTTCCTCTGTGACCAAATCTAGAAATCAGCACCTTGATGTTGCTCATTCTGTTGGCTTATCCTTCTCCTGGTTTCCATTACACCATTCTTACCCGCTTCTCCTCCACTCTGTTCTTTCAGGATGTCCTCTTGAAGAATTTTCTTGTCCCACCTTCAGGACCCAGGGGATCACCTCTACCTTATATGTTTTGTAAACTTATTTGTAAGAAACAATTCAACCACCTTCAATACAGACGCATTTGTCTGCACCCTAACTAGTGGGAATAATATCCTTAACACTGCATAGCATTTAGGTTGGTGACTTAGCTGTATCCTTGGATCTGGTCTTCACTCTGTGTCCTCATATACTGCTTGTGTTTAATTCTTAAAGATGTTTTGAAAGAATCATCTGCAAAATACAGCCTTTCCTGACCATCCACATCTAGATTCTCATCTCATGTTATTATTGCAAAACACTTTTTCCTCTTATCTTGACAGGGTAATTTCCGCCTGCTGATACACGTTTGCACTGTTTCTCCAAGGATCATTTTTCTAGGCTGTAACTGTAATCACCTCTTACATGGTCTTGCCACTTGCTGCTTGTTGCTTACGAAATACCAGCTGCTTGCCTTCACTTTCAAAGCCTCTCCCAGGCTGCCTCACTATCATTCCGGCTCTCAGTTGGCCATGTCCTGGTCAGTTCACCATTCTGATTAACTTACTGCAGCACCTTCGATTTTCAAACAAGCACTGATGTGCTGTGTCTTATGCTGACTGTGATGAACAGAGAAACCTTCCCAGAAGACTGCCTCATCCCCCCCCTCCCAACCTCTCCTTACCCTTTACCAGTGATAATTACAAACATAAAGGTTAGATTACTGATCTGCAATATTTTCCTACCTGCAGACCAACACTTTAACAGTGGTTTCTTGTGATTGATTTATCACCTGCATCACTCACTGTATTTTTGGTGTTAGATGCTTAGATGTTTATGAGTAGGAGCAAACACTTTGTATGGTCTGTGGTTAGGACTCCACAGAATGATGAAAACAGAGTAATAATGGTCCTCTGCAGACATCAGATTAGGCATAGAGTTAAGGTTCTCCTGTGTTATTGACTCCAAAACTGATGTTAGGTCACACAGGCTCACAAAAAAACCAGAAAAGCTTGCCATGCACTGAACAAATGTTTGGGTGTTCCTCATCATCCAACAAGAACATTTTCAAACATATTTTACTTTTTTGATAGATTACAAAGCAACACTAGTGGTCTGCTAGTCATCACCAACACAAAGGCAACATCAACCCAAACCTCCTGGCCTTGCTCTCTTGGCGTCTTGCTCATGTTGTGTTCTCAATATTAGTATTTTAAATTTGTGTTTAGAACAAAAACCTGCACTGTTTTTTCATATCCTACTTTCAAAGTCTTTGAATCAGCTGAATTACCTCATGTTTTCGGGTAAGCACTTCTGTTGTGCTTTGCTTCTCTTATGTATTAAAAGAGTATGAAAATAGTATTAGCACTAACTCATCTTCTGTATATACCTGGCCACAATCAAACTGCATTCTTTGGTTTTGTTTTGGCAGTACCCCTTTAAGTACAACATGAGTAGAAGCAACAGCAGCAAAAATCTCCTTTCCAACTAAACTAAGATATCAAATGTTTGGTATTTTTATTCAGTGTATTACTCAGTGCTGCAAAGCACATTCCAAAACTTCATAACAAACTGTATGCTGGAGAAAAAGCCCCAAGGAGAGAAAGCGGGGGAAGAAAAACATAAACAGCTCTTCACTTCCTCTTAACAGAAAGAAAGATAGAAAAAAGAACATAAAAGAGGCATTGCTGCCTAAAATCAGTCATTTTTTGTCCCTGGAAATTCAGTTAAGACAGGTTTTCTCATCACGGTATAATCCAGGAAAATGCCCTTCCTTTCCTTTCTCCTTTCCCCTTCCTCCCAGTAGAACCTAGACATGAAACTAACCCAAGCAATCTTCATGTTCCTTACTGGAATTCATACATCCAGCAAGGGCAGCAGCAGCTATAATTTACCAGACAAATCCTGTCGGTTTTGACATGTGCTGCTAATTTAAAAGAGGAGTCTCAAATACATTTGTTCCAAAATTGCTTGGATTGTCATTCAGCCTTATAAAAATAGCAGTGTTCCGAGTATACATTTTACCTCTTAGAAAGCCTGTTTATGTTTACAAACCCATTGTCTTGATTTGTGTATCTTATCCTGCAAATTTTAGTGTTTCTCTTTTGATAGCAGGAGCCTGTTGTGTCTGTACTTCTAACAACACAGAGAGAATATCTGAGCAGCCTGTACAACTCCTCTCTCCTAATGAATACCCAAGAGTTGCAACTCTTTTAGTAAATAATAAATGAAATTCTGCTTGCAGTGTGCTTCTAGGCCCCTTAAAAGTTTATCGTAAAAACCTTAAACCTGTGGAATAAAATACTTAGCAATATTCTTCTGTA